CCTCGCCCGGAACGAAGTTCAACATGTTCCCGTCCACGACACGTTCCGAATGCCGTTCAAGATGACGTCCCCGCCGTTATTGGCATATACACTCGACCCCGCTGTAAGGAAACATATGGTTTTGCTTCGAAAAATGTTTCCTTAACGCGGGGAAGTTTCCTTAAACTTGAGGANCTCGCCCGGAACGAAGTTCAACATGTTCCCGTCCACGACACGTTCCGAATGCCGTTCAAGATGACGTCCCCGCCGTTATTGGCATATACACTCGACCCCGCTGTAAGGAAACATATGGTTTTGCTTCGAAAAATGTTTCCTTAACGCGGGGAAGTTTCCTTAAACTTGAGGAGATCAGAACGCACCATCCCCGGGGCCAGTGGTGGCGGTACATACGTCAAAAGGTGCGCCCTGGGCAGGGCATTGTTGGAATAACAAAAGAGGCTGGGAGTCGGCGAGAAAATAATTGTTTTTTGCTGAACACCACCACACAGCAGGGAAAATACCTGATGGGCACTTCAAATTCACCTGGTGACTCTTGGTTACCCCTGGGGGAGCGCACGCAGAAACTCTCCTGCGTTACTCTCTACTGGAGCGCCATTCAGACACAAGCACACAATACGGCGTATGGCCGACAAACCGCAAACACTCAACGCTACGACTTCTGACATTCCGTGCACTCCCTCTGCAGTCCGTAGCCTTCCTTCCCGATGCCGCGACCACAAAACGCGTGCATCCATCGACCGCACGGGCAGGTGTGGATACCCGACACGAGGTTCGTGATCGTGCACGTGGGTTCCCCACACTGTTTTAACCCAGGTGCAGAGGACGCACCGGTAGGTGAAACGAATCTTTGCATGCCGCAGACAGCAGGTGAAGCAGCAGACCTCTCTGCTTGCGAAGAGGGTACGCTGAAAACGTGCTTTAAGGGGGGTCCGCGTACTAGAATATGGACCCCCCGTATATTTTACATTCTGCGGGGTATTGTGTTTCGGCGAAAAATTGTTTCCTTTACCCGGGGAGTTTCTTTAATTTTGGTTTCCTTAAAGCGGGGTCGACTGTACGTACGTCGTCACCTCTTGCGGCATTGTCGAGATATCAGGCCTTCGACTTGGCCGCCCCGTGGGGGACTGACTGACTGGTCAGTTTTCTGAGGCAGTCGAGTATCGCTGAGTCTCTCCGGACACTTCCGGCGGAGATGAGACCTCGCCTCGACGCACACAACACTGTAAACCACGTCGACCCCGCTCTTAAGGCCTTGGTTATCGTCTTGCGGGCAACATGCGGATTGATTTTGGATGGAGCTGTCCGCGCTCCATCCCCTCTCTCCCGCTGCTGTCTTTCTTTCTGGTATATTTGTTCGTGTTGGGGAAACAGGCTACCCCCCGCTCTTCGACACGCCCCCGGTGTTTGCCATCGGGGTTGGGTTTTCGTCGCTTGGCAACGACGTTGTAAAACAAGCCAATTCACTTCGTGAACTCGGCAACCAGGTTACCGTTTTTTTTTTTACCTCCGTTTTTTTTT